TAGTTGTTCATAATTGATTCCAGCATCCCCAATTAATTCCATATTAACCAAAAATCTCGTTTCAATTTTTTTACAACACTGACAGCAACACGTGAGACATGGAGACCTCATAATTATTTACCTAAATTAACGAGTCATATTTAACTTCGTCTGGGCACTCACTTCGTAGACTAAAACTCAATATAAATATGGCTAAATATGCACAGAAACATATAAAAGAATTATCAAATAAGCCTAACAGGCATGACTCCCTATTAATACTATAGTACAAATTTTAATTTCACAAAGGGAGAATTTAAACACATAAATTTTTCACCACAAGGACCTCATCCTTATATAACTTCCACCGCATTTTGTAGCCCGGTTTAAATATTTCACATTATATAAATATTGCGCGGATCTTGTCCTCAACTCTGAATCACAAGTATTTTTGCACATTGTGCTAACTGAAAATTTTCATTCCCTTTCCTTCTTCTTTTTAATAAATTCCGTGAGAGAATTTTACAACACAAAATGAACCCACATACCGGTAGGGCATAAATTTCATAAATTTTAATCAAACTATCCCGAGTTTATATCAAAACTCACCGTAGTGAGTAATAGAGAGTCACTTTTGGACCCAAAGCCCTTAATAGTGTACAAAACAAAAATGATAGGCACAAGTTAACATCATCAAATCTCCCAACAGGAATAATTATATAAGTGAGTCACAATATTACGAAACTCACCCATAAGTGGAGCATAAAGGAGGACTCGCCTCAATATTCAGAACCGAATCAAATTAAGGAAACATATCCTTTTATAACAAATCGGGATCGTACCTGTAACGACACCATCTGGTGTAGAGGCCTCGGCCATAATCATAGGAATATATCAACGGGCTGGGCCTCCCCCTCGAGGGTGCCCTTTACCCGCCTATCCCCCACCCCTAACTAGCTGTGCATGTGGGGTAGTAACTGCATTGGGGCCCGTAGCCTGAGTGTTCTGATGAAATCTACCTCTCCCAAGTCTGGGACAATCTCTCATGATATGCCTAGTATCACCACACTCATAACAACCCCTCTGAGGTCGCGGCTGCTCATACTGAGTTTGTGCCGAATAACTGGAATAACTACTATAAGAACCTCGTGCCGGTGGTGTACCAAAAATATTAACTGGAGCACTACGAGTACTCTCAATTGCGGACTGGGCTGAGCGACTGCCCGAGCCTCCGCCATAATGAGTGCTAGCGGCAGAGTAGAATCCACTGAATCATCCAGAATTTCGATACCTCTTGACCTCCTTAGACTCTATTTCCTCACTTCGAACACGTTCTACTCTATTTCCTCACTTCGAACATGTTCTAACGTCCTGGCAATTTCTACTACATGCTGGAATGGAATGTCAGTCTGCAACTCTCGAGCCATACATATTTTAAGATCATAATCGATCCCCTCGATAACCTGCAGACTCGCTCTCTGATTGTAGGAACCAAAACAAGTGCATGACGAGCTAACTTACTGAACCTGATGGCATATTCTGACACCATCATAGTGCCCTGACGCAATCATTCAAACTCTGTGCGCCACGCATCTCGGAGAGTCTGAGGAACAAACTCTTTCAAAAATATTTCTGAAAATTGAGACCAAGTTGGTGGTATTGCAACGGCTGGTCTACCTTCCTCATAGACTTGTCACCACTAATACGCTGCCCCTGACACCTGAAATGTAGTAAAAGCAACTTCGCTCACTTCCACAATACGGTGCGGAGAAAACGGTGACACTTTTCTAGAAATCCCTGAGCATCCTCAGCAGTTGTGCCACTAAAAATAGGTGGACTATGCCTGTTAAATCTCTCAAGTCTCTTTTGTTCTTCTTTTGATGCCTCTGACCTGACCTCAGGCAGAACCGGAATAACAGGTTGTACCGGTACTACACCCGGAACCTGACCAATTTAACCCGCTGCTCTGGAGTACGGGCTGTAGGATTTTAAGCTACTCCCCCAATCAGTGAAATATTTGGTGCAACTGAGATCAATCCCGCCTGAGTTAATGTACCATTTATGTTCAGGAGTTGTGCTAAAGTCTCCTGAAGTCCGGGGGTAACAACATGTATCTCGGGTGCCTGTCCCCCAACTAGAGCTACTGGCGGCTCCTCAACTGCTCCTCTAACCGGTGTTCTAGTTGTGCCATGTGCCCTTTCTCGCCTCTACCTCGGCCCAGGCCTCTTATGTTCCTAGCACTATGCGCGGGTGTCTGCTCAGCTGACCCGGTAGCACGTGTCCTCGCCATATGTGAGAGAATAGAGATACAAAGGCTCAAATTCCACAATCAACAAATGCGCACAACAAGAATGAAAGGAGTGGAAATTTCCTAACAGTTCTTTAGCCTCTCGAAGATAAGTACAGATGTCTCTGTATCGATCCGCAAGACTCTACTAGACTCGTTCGCGACTCGTAGTACCTATGAACATAGAGCTCTGATACCAACTTGTCACGATCCAAAATCCCACCACAGGCATCGTGATAGCACTTAGTCTCTAAGACTAAGTAAGTCGATTATAATAATAATTAAAGCCATTTTTATTTTGAAATAGATAATTGAAACCAACAGCGGAAATATTCAACAACCTCCCAAGACCGGTAATGTTGAGTCACGAACTCTAACTGAATACATACAAGGATATCAAGGATCGAATATACAATACTGTTCGAATAAAAGTTGACAGTACAATAAAATGGAAAGACTCCAAGGGACTGCGACGATCAAGCAACTCTATCTTAAATCCTTGCGATCACACTCTAACTATGTCCGAGTCCGATATCTACAATACCTGGCTCTGCACAAAAATATGTAGAAGTGTAGTATGAGTACACCACAGTCGGTATCCAGTAAGTATCAAGACTAACCTCGGTGGAGTAGCGACGAGGTACAGTCAAGACACTCACTAGTCTAATAACCTGTGCAAGATGGCATATAAAAATGATGGGACAACTAATAGTAGTGATAACAACAATAATCAACCAGTGATATAAATAACAAGGCGACAAAATAAATATTGCTAAATAAATAATGAAATACAAGTGCAACCAATTAATCAAGTCCTTCAAATATAAATCTTTCACCTATAAGTTTTTCAAATAATAATCTTTAGATCACAATCCTTTCCAATAAATATATTTCAAATATACTTCCTTCAAATAAATATCTTTCAAATAAACATCTTTCGAATATAATTCTTTCAAAAAAATAATCTTGTATATAATTCTTTCAAGTAAAAGTCACCTTGTGACGCCTCATTTCATAATCATAAATAATACGGGTCTCAACCCGCTTTCATATTTCTACGGCACCTCGTATCCATATTTCTATTACAACCACACGGACAACTCACGTGCCAATATCATCATCATTTACTCACGGCACCTCGTGCCCACATTTCATATCACAACTGCACGGACAATTCACGTGCAAATGCATTATATATCCACGGCACCTCGTGCCCATATTTTATATCATAACTGCACGGACAATTCACGTGCCAATAATAAAATCATCATATTTCCTTGGCACCTTGTGCCCATATCATAATCCACCCGGCAATAGCCATAGACTCATAATTTCACCATTTATCTAACTATTTTCAAATTTACTTAATTTATAAGATAAATTTGCACAATATATAAAAGAAATCACAACATCACATAAAAATCACCAACATATTACTCCCACCTCATCACATATCATCCCTGACAATAGCCACCCTTATCTCTCCTATAGCCACCTTTATCACTCTTATAATAGCCACCCTCATCCCTCCGTCCTGACAATATCTATAGCCACCCTTATCGCTCATATAGCCACCCTTATCTCTCTTATAGCCACCCTTATCGCTCGTACATTAGCCTCCCTTATCGTTTTGTTTAATAGCCACCCTTATCACTCCGCTCAGACAATATCCCAACACACATAACCATAGTAAAATGCCACCCTTATACCCACATAATATCAACAGTGAAATGCCACCCTTATGCCCTTATAATAATAACTCAAATCTCACAACAATTTACACGGATATTATCATAACAACCCAATACAATAATTCATATCACAATTGCGCATAGGCCACAACGGATTCCAAAGCTACAACAAAATCAATTAATTTTACAGCAAATACCCCAAGGCTCCACACGACGTTTATAAAGCCTCGATAACAACAACAAAGATGGAAAATTAACTCAGCATAAGACAACACCTTCTTGAATCCAAATTTTTGATAAATATATTAATACCTCAATTTAAACTTATTTAATTATTTATTTGTAGATGGAAAATCCATAATATAATTATCTACAGTATAGCTCAAAGCAATAGTATAAAACAAGGAAAAACAAGCTAAGAGAAAAAGATGAGAGATTCTTATTTCTTCCATGTATTCAAGTGTATTTTTCAAGCATATATAACATCACTTCTCATNCCAGACGTTTTCTTTTTGGTCGAAAGTAGCTTTTTTGGTTCCGAAAATAGCTATTTTAAAAAAATTTAAGTAGGTAGTTTAGGTCCAACGACTTTAGTAAGGAAAAAGTAAGCTTTGTAGGAGAAGCAAAAGACAGTTTTTTGAAAAGCAGAAAAAAGTAGCTTCTCTCCAAAAGCACTTTTCTGAGAAGCACTTAGAAGTAGTTTTTAAAAGCATGGGCAAACACTAATTACTGTTCAAAAGTGCTTTTCAAATTAATTAGCCAAACACAAACTGTTTATCACCAAAAGCACTTTTTTGAAAAGTACTTTTGATAAAAGCATTTCTTAAAATAAATTGATTTTAGAAGCTTGGCCAAACATGCTATAAGCATTTGACATCATGGAGGAAGATCATTTGGGAGATTATGGAGTTACAATCATAATTCCATAAGAGTAGTGAACATTAATCCTTTGGCGGTTATTAACATCCACCATAATTCAATATTTTATAACAAATAGCACATTTTATGATATGTTTCTCCACTTTTTCATTTCCTTTTAATAACTCTTTTTCAGTTTTATTCCTTTTACACCCTACATTCATTTTTGTGTTTTTCGGACCTCGCCCTTGGCTTTGTACCTCATCCTGTATTTGATGCCTTCAGGTCTCTGCCCCTTCAACAGTCAGCTATCAAGATCCATTGCTCTTTCCGTGCCAAAGCTGTCCTTTCGTCTCCGTTGATAGCAGAAGAAAATCCTGTCCTGTTCTCGTCACCGCCTTGCTAGGTACGCCTCATTGAGAAAAGTCTCTGTTTTTGTTCGTTTGCTTTTATTTTTAGCTGTTATTGTTCAATCTTGAATTGTTCTTTATAACCGACTGTGCTTTCGATTATTTATAACCGTTTTTGGCCCCGAAACGAAAAATTCCAGTGCCCTTTTTATTTTTGTTCTATCTGTTGTTGACTTGAGGGATTGTACGCTTTTGAGTTTTTACCGCTGCAATTTTGTCGGATTTGTGGACGGTTGATGATAAAGTTGGTGTCTTTTTGCTGATGACGTTAATTTCTTATTGTGAAATGCTGTATTGCTTGTATTTCTTTTCCTCTTTGGTAGTTTTGCTATTAAATCCTAATTTTTTTATAACCGAGCAATTCCAGAGAGCTAGTGGTGCACGGTCTGAAACTCACAGGACAATGGGTCCACTTCTCTATCCTCTCCACTTAAATCCCAAGCCTTTGTTAGTGGCACGGGTTCTAACCCGTGTAATGTGCCTAATCCATGCATCACAAGCTACGTATTATTACTAGAACCACCCCCCCCCACCCCCCACCCCGGTATTCTATCGTAATTCTTTCTTTTCTTTTTCTTTCATTGAGGTGTGTTACTTTATAGGTTTTTAATCCGTTCTTTTTTTGGGTTTGGGATGGGGGAAGAACTGTCTAGTATGGTTATGTTACACAATGAAAGAGGATAACAAGTGTATGTTCCATTCTTATATTCTTTCTTAGTTGTTTTCCCTCTGTGTATAGTTAGAAAATACACAAGGGGTGAGTGATTTATGGTTGCGTCGTACCTACTGGGAAAAGCATTGTATAATAGCATTCAAGAAAAGAGATTCGGAGATGAAAACTGAAAAAGGACAAGATAGTATATGACAGTAGTTGAACTTATTCTAAATTTTTGGTTCATTTGCTGTAGATCAGAGTGCGTTCATAAACATGCTTGATGTTTAGATTGATGTACTCGTATCATTTAGCTAGATTTGGTTCTTGAGTGATGAGGTAGGAACATTTAGAACATGAAATTGCATTTTGTAAATATCTTGTATATGTGCCTAATATGTTCTTTAGTTTTTTAGGAGTGTTACATGTTGGGCTTTAATCTGTGTTGCTTTTGTTGAAGTTTGGGTTTGTGGTCCGGAATGTCATCTGTATCTAGCCAGCCTCAGTTCCGATACACACAGCCTCCCTCTAAGGTTCTACATTTAAGAAACTTACCATGGGAGTGCACAGAGGAGGAACTTATCGAATTGGGGAAGCCATTTGGTAATGTTGTCAACACCAAGTGTAATGTTGGAGCAAATAGAAATCAAGCATTTATAGAGTTTGTAAGTTGAACTTCTTTTTTCTTCAAATCTCTGTTTCTTTCTAGTGAAACTATACTTAACTTCATGTCTTGTTTTCTACCTATTACTGTTTGTAGGCAGAACTGAATCAAGCTATTGCAATGATATCGTACTATGCGTCTTCCTCAGAACCAGCTCAGGTACGAGGGAAAACCGTCTACCTACAGTATTCCAACAGACAAGAGATAGTGAACAACAAAACTACTGCCGATGTAGCTGGAAATGTATTGTTGGTAACAATTGAGGGAGATGACGCACGCCTTGTCAGTATTGATGTTCTACACTTGGTAAGTGATTATATTACTTCCCCACATATTTGTTTGGTGGATGGCAAACCTTCTTCATAGAAAGGTTTTCTACGTAGTTTTAGTATTAGGTTATAGTTTGTCTTGCTTTGTTGAGTGCTCTTTGACATGAATATGAATGGATCAGCAGGCCAATGTCAAGGATATATCTGCAATGGCAGCTTATTGCATCGGGAGAAAGAGCGCATGTGTGTTTGTTTCCTTTCTCCTTTGCTTAGCACTGGCTCTTTCTCACCCCTTCTCTTAATTTTATTATCTCAACTTCCCTTGGAGTGTCAGATGTTTCTCTTTTCTTTTTCTTTTGAAAATTGGCACACTCTCTTTGGCATGTGCATGATGTTTGCTGCTACATCTTGTCACCTGAGGCAAAATTGTTACTTGTGCGTCTGGCATTTGTTAGTCGATGCAGCATTTCAGTGTTCTGTTATAGTGTGTTCGTCTCTTTTAATTTAAAATAACTCAAATTTTAGTGTTGAGCTACACTTAAATCTAAGAGATAATCTCTATGCTCTGTCCTTGGTCATTTAGTTGCCTAAACCCTCTTTCTCCGTTACTTGTTTGTGTTGATCTTTTCCTAAATCTATCTTTTAATGTAAATAGATTATTAAATACTTTAAATATGTCTCCATCTCCTCGCTTCTTGTTTGGTATTATTGGAATGTTCATAGAGAAGATCTTTTTTTTTAAAAAAGACGTCTTCATGGAATGGGATAGATGAAGTTAAGGTCACTTATCACTGCTGAAGACCCCAGCAATGATGATCGTCAGTTGACTACGCTGCATTTATTTTCACTAAGTCAAGCCGTAGGCTTTATTGAACAGAGGCACTAAATCAGCTCCATTGCTATAGTGAAAGATTGATGAATGTTCTGAATATCTGAATGGCTGAAGTTATTATGTTAATTTGATCATGCAGTCTCCTGTGGTCTGATAGTTTTGGTTGCATCAGATGCAGTAGATGAGAGGAGTGGTATTCTTTTCAACCTTTTTCAAAAAGTACTTTTTGCTTTTGAGATTTTCTCTAGGTCAACATATAGGTTTCATCTCTGAAAGGGAGATTCTTCACTGATATCTTTAAGAGAGAAGATATAATTGGTAATCATTTGAAACTAGGTGGTTTTTCTGTTACCTTGTACTTCTTTATTCAAGAACAATGATTGAAATTGCAAAATAACATCTAAGAAGTTCCCAAATTTTTATTTTGTTTTTACCTTCAATTGATTTTTTGTACTTAAAATCCTATTTTTCAGGTGTTCTCAGCTTTTGGATTTGTCCATAAGATTACTACATTTGAGAAAACTGCTGGATTCCAGGTCAGTATGTTACTGAAGTTGGATTCTATCAACTTTGATTGGTCTTATTTATGTCTCTAGTCTAGACCACTGATTCAGCTGACAAGTCCACCACTCTTACTTGGAACCCTTTTCAGGCTCTAGTGCAATTTTCTGATGCAGAAACTGCCACTTCTGCAAAGGATGCCCTTGATGGAAGAAGCATTCCCAGGTGATTGTGGATTTATATTTCAGATTGGAATGTAGCGCACTGTTATGGATCATTTACTGTAGATGTGGTGCACATACATTGGGGCTCGACATCTTTGAAGAGCTTTTTTAAGAATCTACCGAAGGGGTACACGCATGTTCCTTGACCATTCCATATCTCATTTTATGTTCGCATAACGCTCCTCAGGTTCATTGTAATTTCAGTGATATGGCCTGTGTTGAAGGGGAGCTTTGGAGCAACGTTAAAGTTGTTTTTGTGTGACCTATAGGTCACAGGTTTGAGCTGTAGAAGCAGCCACTACTGTTTGCATTAGGGTAGGCTGTCTACATCACACCCTTGGGGTGCGGCCCTTCCCCGGGCCCTCCATGAATGTGGGATGCTTTGTGCACCGGTTTGCCCTTTTTTATGGCCGTTGTACTGCTAAAAAATGTAGTTTTAAATGTCGCTGTAGAACCTATTCATAACTAGTACCCGTGAGCTTGCATCTTCTAGCTTAAGAAATATTAGCTGATCCTGGTTAAAAGGTGCTGGCCAGAAGAGACTTCTGCTTAGACTTGCTGTCAGCTAGCTGTTTCGATGTGCATATTCAAAGACTACTATGATATTATTTTTTTAAAAAAACACTGCTCTGTCTTTATACCCATCATCTGCTGTTCAGTATCACTACATGCTAGTCCTATTTTTTGTGTGTGTTTTTGAGAGTGGCTATTGACCTCTATTGTTGTTCTCTTCTGCCTTAGGTATTTGATTCCAGAACTGGGACCTTGCTCCCTCAAAATAACATATTCTGCACATACTGATCTTAGTGTGAAGTTTCAGAGTCATCGTAGCAGGTAGAACTGATCTCTCTCACTCACTCTCACTCTCTCTCACCCTCTCTCTCTCTCTCTCCCACTCTCTCTCTCTCTCTTTCACACACACCCTTTTTTTGCTAAACAAACATTCCTGATAAATGGCTTGTTCTATTTTGGGAAAAATAGGTGTACATATTGCATTTTATTAGCCTTCATCACTAATACTCATTTTATTTCCTATTCTTTGGGAGTCTAATGATTACTTTTCTCCTCTCTTTAATAATCATTTCATATGGATTTGATTTAGGGACTACACAAATCCTCTCCTTCCTGTTGCACCCTCAGCCATTGATGCAAGTGGTCAGGTAATCAATTTGTCACAACTCTTAGTGTGGTCATTAGTTGCAAGGGAGGATGTGTTAGGATTCTAATTTGTGTCTTCCTACTTTCTTGTTTGTGTATTCTGGATTTTCCTTTTTGATAAGTCAAAAGCTTCATTAACTAACACGGAACCAGTATTAAAAAATATGTACGAAGTAAGTGTGCGGCTTAATCATCTTCATCTATCAAATTTGCCCACGTATGTATGGCAAGATATACTCCCTCTACACAAAAGGTACAAGCGTTTCAGAAAAGAATACGCTTTCATGTCGTATTTTGCAAATTTGTGGGCTGCTTTAAGATAATGCATCTTTCCTGGAGGTTATGATTTAACTGGTAGAGTATAGCAGTTTGTGTGCTTATCTTTGTATGGTTGGTACACGTATGTTTCTGTGCTTAGGGTGCATTTGCAGCTGGTTGATGAAATGCTGGTTTCTTTCCTTTCTTTGAAATTTCTCCCATTCACGTTTCAGATTAGTGTGGGTTTAGATGGGAAGAAGCTGGAGCCTGAGAGTAATGTTCTTCTAGCTTCCATTGAGAACATGCAGTATGCTGTAACCTTGGATGTCCTACACATGGTACCCTACTTCAGTTGCAAGATAGTTTCTGTACATTCTCTTTCGGCCTTAATCCTGAGTTACTTATTGCTTTATCTGTTTCCCTTCATGTGTGGAATTCAGGTTTTTTCAGCTTTTGGCCCTGTGCTAAAGATTGCAATGTTTGATAAGAATGGTGGGGTTCAGGCTCTAATACAATATCCAGGTCAGATGAAAATTTCCATTTTCTTCAAAGTGTGTTTTTCCACTAAAAAGTCAGTAGTTGCTTGTTTTGATGATTCAAAATATTTCTAGCAAAGAGGCCAAGGATGGTTCTCAGCTGTATTTGCATAGGGAATTCGGCAATGAAGTTATAGTCTTTTGTTTTTATTAGTGTCTAGATATATTGATTGAAGAAACTTAGTGGTTACTGTACTTGTATCTGACCCAAACCGTGGATTGTTACCCTCTTGAAATTGGTCACCTTGTACTGGTTTTGTATAACTGGAACTAATCTGGTTACCTCAGTACTAAGAGTGCTCGTATGCTGAATGATAGAATAAACGCAATGTGTTTGCAGATGTGCAGACAGCAGTTGTTGCAAAGGAAGCTCTGGAAGGACATTCCATATATGAAGGAGGATTTTGTAAGCTTCATATCTCCTACTCTCGCCACATTGATCTCAGTATTAAGGTAAAAAGGGTCATAAAGCGCTTTATTTGCTAAAGATACTAGGAGTAATTTATAACAGCTACTACAGTTTTAGCGTCAGCCATCTCTTTGTGTTTTTTGCCTATTTGGAACAAGCTGTCTACAAAATCACGTGTTTTCCTGGTCTGATATCAGGTAAATAATGATCGGAGCAGAGATTATACAATCCCGAATGTCCCTATGCTGAACTCTCAACCCTCGGTTTTGGGGCAGCAACCACATCCAGTAGGAGGTACAGGTGTTCATCCATACAATGGGCCTACACAATATGCCCCAGCTCCACAAGGTCATGCTGCACCTCAGCATTCAGCTGGCTGGAACTCACCTGTTGGGGCTGCACCTCAACAAATACCGATGCAGATGCATAATCACCCTTACTCTATGCCTGCAAGTGGGCCGCCTCAGATGGGTCATGGGATGCCTCCAATGCATGGACAGAACGGCCTACCACATTCTGCTGGAATGCCTCCATATCATCCACAATAGCACTAGTGAGAACCGCAAACTTATCTAGACCAGGATTACATTTTGTTGCAGGAGATCTAAGCCAAAATGTTAATTATTTTGGTCCAGACTGCATTTCTTTGTTCTTCGTTTTCTGTCTCCCTCTCTATATCTTAGTCCCTTTTTCTTTTGGGTGTCATTGGAAGGTTTCTAAACCACTTAGTAGGCATCCACTGTTATGAAGAGACTTCATCGACCTGTAGTGCAAATCGTTTTTAATTGTCTTTTCATTGGGTGCCATATATCAATTATATTACGGTCGTAGCATTTGGTTTCAGTGTGCTTTGAGATATTTATACTGCGGCTTGATTGATTGATTGATTGATTGAAAATACTTGTGATTGCTTTCTATATCTTAGAAAACACACATTGCACCCCCTGGTTGAACAAAAAATAACCCATCCCACTCTTTATTTTATCCAACCGACCCAACCTAATAACTCGCCCCACCCTAGCCCCTCTCACCTGAGTAAATTTAAGTAAGCTTGAGAATATGTGAGATAATAAAAGGTCTACTGTTGGAGTTCAAGTAAAGTAGTTATCGATGAAATTTCCGCCAAATTTGGAATCAAGCCATTTTTTTATTTTTTTTTATCTGCACCGGGTGTCCGAGTCTCTAAGAGCCCCGACTAATTCCGGGGGTGCACAGGCCCTCGGCAAGGAGTTTCCCGCAAGTGCATCATGGTTAATTCAGGTTTTACCCAGTCCGATGGCCCTCAGAAATTGTTTGCACCCAGTGGGTTTCGAACTTGAGACCTTGAAAGGGAGCAAACCCCAAGGCTCAAGTCTATTGCCACCAGGCCAACCTCGAGGGTTTGGAATCAAGCCATTTTTAAGAGAAATTTGCAGCTACTACTTGTCGATGCTGCTTGAAACAAGAAGAAGAAGGTGAACTAATGACATATATCCACAATGCTTGTGTGTTGCTCCTCGTAGACCTCAGTTGTTGGAAAGTATAATTTCCTAATCAAACTTTTTATTGGTTTCTTCAGATCTATTAGGATTCTCGCGTGGTTTTCATTTTATAAGTTGATTTTAGAGTATGAAGATTAAGAGGTTACTGGTTGGATGTTTTCCAGCAAGAGATTTTCACCGTCGTTGGATCTGATAAGTTGTAACAAGAGAGAGAGGGGCTATGGGCGGATCTAGGATTTTAAGATTATGGGTGCACCATTGACTTTAGCATAAAATTGATGTTTGTCATAACATCAAATGAATGTGAAATTTTTACTCCCTCCGATCCATATAAGTGACTTTTTTCTATTTGGCACACTCTTTAAGAAAATGCTAACTCCTAGAGAAAAAAGGTATTTTGACTAAATTACCCTTTATTAAAATGTACATATTATTAACTTGACACATTGGGATAGGTAAATAAGGGCAAATTTTGAAAAAAAATAAAACTAATTTCTTCTTGATTATGTAAAACGACACTTATTTTGGACTAATAAAGAGGCCAAAAAGTCACTTATTAGGGACCGGAGGGAGTATACTTTGACACAGTTACCCACAAAAACAAGACTATTTACCCTTGTCTACCCATTTGTTTTTCTACCCATAAACTAATTACATTTCCTACCCATAGTAGTTTTTGTGGGGAATTTTTTCTTTATTCTCCAATTCTTTTTTATTTCTNCTCCAATTTCTTTTTTTTATTTCTATGCTTCTTTTCTTTTCTCCTTTTCTTTTTTCTCGGTTTCTTCTTATTTTTTTCTTTTTTCCTTTTCTAATTTCGTTTAACTTTTTTTTTATATTCTTTTTCTCTTCATAATCTAATTTCATTCACTGTTTTCACTATTTTTTATTATTCTTTTTTTTTATACTATTACTAAAGAAAAATTAAATTGTGTACCAATTAAATGTAACTAATACAACCAAAAAATATTAACTAACATATGATACCAGTATAGTATATAGCTATACCAACATGGATACAATTGTATGCAAAGAGCTAAAAAAAATTTAATTCAATTATTATACTGAAATAATATCAGTTGTCAGTAAAAATTTCAAAAATTCTAAAGGATCTAATTGTAAGAGTATACCATTACATTATATATCATACTATAATATTTTATTTTATTTTGCATTTTCAATTTGCCCCTCACGCTGGGTAAAAGCTTAAAGCAAATTAAAAGGGAAAAGTCAAGTCAATTTACGTGTAATAACTATACTATTATAGTATTTTGTATACTATTACAGCATACTGTTACAGTATATTGCATATTATTATAGGATACTATAACAATATATTGTATACTATAATAGTATACTGTTGCAGTATAACTATATATACTCATATAGTATATTGTATACTGTAGTGGTATATTGTTAGGTAACTGTGTTCTTCTTCGATTATTACAATATACCGTTGCAGTATATTGTAAACTATAATAGTATACTGTTGCAGTATAGCTATATACTCCTACAGCATATTGTATACCGTAGCGGTATACTGTAGCTGTGTTCTTATTCGATTTTCAACTGAAAAATTCGATCTCAATCACCTCAAATCAGCTCCAAATGCTATCAAATTTCAGTATGAACTTCCAGAAGGTACTATAAGCAATATTTAACAACACCCACTTTGAATCAAACAAGAAATCTTCAAAATAAAAATTTTAAATTCAAGGGCCAAGGCAAGAGCAAGAGCTAGGGAAAGAACAATCAAGAAAAAGTGGAGCAGAATTGATCCACATTATCTTCGTTAGTTTGAGCGTTGGTAATAAGAAGGTCAAAATCTTTACCCCTACCAAAACACTTGGATTCAAATATTTTTAATTTCAAATTGCCAACAGAAATAAATTGATCAAGAGTTGGAATTGAATCATAATCTTTAGCACTTTATACTTGAAATATACAGCCATGATTGAATTCTTTTTCCTAGAAAAAAGAAATCAAGAACAATAATAACAAAGAGGTCGTGTTGTCAAGAATACGATACCTGTTGTCAAGAATACCGGGTAAATAGTTTGGGCTTCATGGGTAGGAGTAGTAAATAGTTTGGACCTGGGTATTAAAGGGTAAATAGTTGGGGCATTTGAATCTATACCCGCTTTTTGTGCCACATTTTAACCTGTGCCCGCTTTGCAAAAAAAATTGCAAGCGTACCCGCTTTTTCGCATAACTTCAGCACACGGGGCTGAAGTAGCAAAGGCAATCACACAAAACTTCAGCTTTTTAGTAGCCAGGCCTGAAGTTCAGCTCTAGAGCTGAAGTTTTTGTTTTCTAACTCGCGAACTTCAGCTCTAGAGCTGAAGTTTTATTTTATAAGTTTTTGTTTAGTAACCGGGCTGAAGTTTGCCAGTTATAAAATAAAAACTTCAGCTCTAGAGCTGAAGTTTTATTTTATAAGTTTTTGTTTAGTAACCGGGAAACTTCTAGAGCTGAAGTTTTTCTTTTGTACTGGAAAACTTCAGCTCTAGAGCTGAAGTTTTTGTGTTGTAACTGAAAAACTTCAGCTCTAGAGCTGAAGTTTTTGTGTTGTAACTGAAAAACTTCAGCTATAGAGCTGAAATGTTTGTCTAATTAACTTCAGCTCAGGACACCAAGAAGATACAGTTACATCTAATTAACTGTATTGTGATCATCTAATGCATCCGATTTTGCGTTCTGTTTTTATTGCAAAATAAATGCTTTATTGTTATGTTATTTCGTTTTCGAAAACTTTTCTTTTTAACATTTGAATCTCTGATCGCTGATGATAAGCTGAAGTTTTTTAAAAAGTGGGTACGGGTGCAAACAGAAAGACAAAGCGGCTACAGGTTAAAAAGGGGCGCCGAAATAGGGCGCCCCGTGCAATTTTTACTAAATAGTTTGAAATTAATGGGTATAAAGTGAGATTTTCTCAATATTATATGACATGTTATCAATTGTGCACATTATGCAAAGAGATAAACTATACTCTTGTTAATATATATTTATGTTTTTATCGTCACAATTCAAATAGCTTTATGGCATTTGACTAATTTTTTATATGCAAATTGCTTACCAAAAATAAAACTATATTTTGTACTAAAAATTTAGACAAAAGCATTCATGGTTTGATTGAAAAGAATATGTTAAACTCGTATAACTTAGACTTTGGATTTTTAATTTTTTATTTACCATGAAGCCTTGGAGATTAATCGTGAGGAGAGAAAAAGAAATAAAAAAAATGAAAGGAAATGGTAAAAGAGAAAAATAGAAAAAATACTAAAGGACAAAATAGAAGAAAATTTGAACTAAATATCAAAATGGCCATAGGGTCTCAAATCCAATCTACTGAGGCACCAATTGCGAATTTTGAGCATGGGTGCCTATTGCACTATCAGGCAAAATCTGTACAAAATTATAAGGGAAACCCAATTTTAGTTGTAAGAAGGATGGGTGCACGTGCCCCACATTTCTTCAAGTGGATCCGCCCCACTCTATGGAGCAGTAAAACAAATAACCAGAATATTTTCTCCAGTCATGTCGTTCTTTACTGGTGGTCACTAAATTTTTGCCATAGTCACCTTTCTTGTGGTTGGGGTGGGACTAGTGGTGGCAAAATGGTTAAAACAAAACAGTTAACCATCCATATTATCCACTAAAAATGGGTTGGATACTGAACATTTTAAAAACGGGTCAAATATGGATAAGAACCATTTAGAAAATGGATAACCAATGGGTAACCAATGAGTTTAACTTTTACATTTGTAAAGTCTCAAATTGGGGGTTCCTCAAGTTTGGGAGACTAGGAATATTTCCAAAAGTGATTATATTCAAGAAGTCATGGATAATATGGTTACCCATATTATCCGCCGGTTAACCCGTTTTTTATCCGTATTAAATATGGGTCGGGTTGGATAATTTATCCGTTTTTTTATTACTCGTTTTCGATCGGAACGATACCCGCCCCGCCCCGCCCGTTTGCCACTCCTAGGTGGGACAAATTATTAGGTTGGATCAGTTGGATTACTTAAAGAGCGGGGCAGGCGGGTTATTTTTTGTTCAACCCAGGGGGATGTCACGTTTGTTTTTTAAGTTATGAAAATGGATTTAACAGTTGAGGGATAATTTGAATCCCAAAGTGCAATGATAGGGTCAATTTTAATAAATAGCTGAAACATGAAGTAAATAGGGTTTATTTTCCGTCTCCTCAAAATAAATTTAAAAAAAGTTACTAAACCAATTGACCCAAAAATTAGGGGATATATTTAAGATATTTTTAAATCTTAGGAACTATTGGTATAAACCAATTTCTGTTGTAACCAGCTCAAACGCTCCGTTGACATTACGAAAATCATAGAGGCCACAATCATAATTCATAACAGAGCTAAATCTGGTGGAGATTTTCTCCCTAGTGTTTTTATTTCATTTTTTGGTTTTTGCATTTTGCATCTCTAACGATTCGCTTATTATTTGTACAAATTCTTTTATAATTTTTACGATTCTTTATGTCTATTTTATTTATTTCACTGTAAACATCAATATATTGTTTACATCTCTTATATATACTTCAATGCATTATTTGATCTGTACGGAAAATATATATATTTGCGCTTTGTATTTCTACAGCAACAATATATTTCTACATGTGGAGTTTAGAAAAGATAAAGCGTACGTAGATAGAGGCGGATGTAGCTCATAACTTTCGACGCGAATTAAAATTTATATATAAAAATTTATTAAAATTATAAAAATAATAGGTATGAACCCATACCTTTAAAAATAAAATGAGTTCAATACTAAAAGTCATAAAAGTTGAATCCATAGGGTTTAAATTAATCCTGAATCCGTCTCTATACGTAGGCGGCTTAACCCTACTTTGTGCAGATAATTAAAGACGCTATTTTCAAAAGACGAACGACGCACTTTGCATCTCTAATCTTTTATAAACTTCAATGCATTTATTTGAATTTCTCATAGTGACTCCTTTTACAGCGTGGCCAACTGATTTAATTCCATTTTGGAACTCGGAAAGTGATTTAACTTATAAACCTTATAATATAAACTAATATTAGTACCCGTGCGATGCGCGGACATAAACAATGTCAAATCATGATTTGAATTATTTGAACTATGTGCAAATAACCTTAAAAGTAAACCTACTATATAGAAATCATAAATAATTATTAGATATTAATTAAGAAGCATGACATGAAATTAAAGAATACTAAACATATAACGTTGTGATTTATCTTGTTTGAGCACAATAAATCATACTATTATTTTAGCAAAATTCTTACTACCGCTTTGTTTTTCATCTTAAGTTCAAATAAGTCTTATCCTTCTATATTTCTAGACATAAATTTTTTCTCTTTTTGTTCTTTGCCTACAATTATTGCATTATTTATTACTTAATATTATTATACTGTAATGTGATCTTTTATTAGCTTATAAATGTCTTGCTTATGACCTTATTAATAATCATCAATAAACATAATTTTTTATGCTTAAAATTTAATGTATTCTTATACCATTATTCTCTTGCTCGAAACTCTTTCATTATTCAAAATTATCAATAATATTTTTGAGTATTATTTAATAATTTAAATCATATATTTTAAATAAATTTAAAATATAAGTGATCGCTATCTTTATTTTCCTCTTTATATTCTCTTTCATACTAAGGAATTTTAATTAGCTTTTTACACAATTTTTTTGGTTGATACTCATATAATATCACGTTTTATTCAAAAACAACAGCTTTTAATTAGTCTAAAAAGTAATACAAAAGTTCTTTTTGTGTTTAAAATATATTAAATTTTTTTATAATTATTTTTGTATTACGTGCAATTAAAATTTCTTTGTCTTTTAGTTTCAAGATAAAAATTTAGCTTTTAATTTTCATTAGTTCTATATGAGATATTTACTTAGTATATTAAATTTTTTTAATTTGGTATCAAATTTTTATTTTTCTTTATCTAGCAAAACTTGAATTTTTGTGATCATTTCCATATTTTGAGCGTTCTCATCATAACTTTAAGAACTTTCTAATCTCAAGTTCAAATAGTTTTTTCCTTAGTTTTTCTTACTTTTGCTATAATGCTATCTAATATGTAATATTATCACGTTTTCGTGTACTTTTTTTTTTATTAACTTTACACTTTATTTAATATTCCCGTCAAATACTATTTTTTATATAAATATAAATATATTTGTAACTATTTAATATTATATTAAATATTTATTTTATTTTTAAACTATTGTTTGAATTTTTTTAGTTATTTAAATTTATCAATAATATTTTTAAGAATTGTATACTTGCTTTATTTTATTTTCTAAAGAAATTCTTAGTATAAATATTGTCCCATTATTTCTAATTTATTTTTATTATTTAATAGTATTAATTATTTTTATCTATTAGACTTTAGTTATGTGGTCTTGTTCACATGCATGTCATTTCTTATCATACTTAAACAACAATTTCACATCTCAAATTTAAATAAGTTTTAACCTTCTTTTTTGTATGATAAATTTTTTGATTTTTTTCTCTATTTGTTCCTTAGTTTTGCTATTATATTGTTCAATACTTAATTTTATTACATTTTCATGCGGCTTTTCATTAGCTTGTCTGAATTTAATATATATTTTTACCATGTTAAGATTTATTCTTATTAAGTTTAAATGTTTAATTATATAAAAAATATTTATTACGTAGAAATATTCGTTTGCCCGATTTGTCAATACTAATAAGACTTTATTACTCTTGTTATCAAAATAATATTTACTAATTATTTAATTTTTTCTTACCTCATAAATAATTTCTATATTTTATGTAAGATTTTATTTTGCTGCTTGAATTTTTAAAGTCATTAAATATTTAATATCTTAAGTTAATTTTAGTTTTTTTTTTTGTATTGTAACTTACTCCAAAGTACAAGTAGACATAGGTTATCTCAATTTATGTTTTTCTATATTTATAATTTTTACCTCCATATTTCTAATTAATATAGAAGAAAATCTATGAGTGGATCAATATATAAATGTAAATATAGATATATAGATTAGGTTTATCTAAGATCTATTTAGATTATGTATAAGATCTATTTCATTCAACTACTTCCATTAATTGTGTTTTCATTTCTAATTATTATTGTTGTCCTAAAATTGTCAAGTGACTTCATTTTAGCTTGCCACTTGGCTTAACCACATGCTTTACTAGTCTCATTTTTATATAATATAGATAACTTTAACACTGTCTGTTTAATTTTATCAGTTATAATCAATTATTTATCATAGTTAAAAAATTACTCCACCAATTTATGCCTAATACAGAGTTACTTGTAATTATTACTCCATTTGAGTATTGATAGTACATATCTGGAGTTTAAAGAAAATGACACCCGAAAGAAAGAAGAAACGAGGAAAAATCCGAGGCAAAGGCCGGTGTGGACGTTGCCCTGTGTGATTTTCAGAGACAGCTGATACCGGTTTGAAAAGCCACCGAGTGGGTCCCGGTAAAACTAAGAGTAGGACCCACAAAGGCTTTATGTGGATCTTCTCGTGGACTCTCCTGACTAATCTCTCTCTCTCTCTCTCTCCTATGAACCATCTCCTATGAACCAGAAAGGAAATCTCAGACAAGTTGCAAGTATGTATCTTAATTACAATTCAAAATCAGAGCAGAACCATAAATCCGCTTCGCTTTCTAAAAAATTAGTTGTTTCTTGCTGTTACAGAGTGTGGATTCTTCGTGAACAAAGTTAATCGCACTTTGCTTGGTTTGCTTTCTTCACTCCCATGCTTCGCTATCTTTTCAACTTAAGATCAGCATTCCACACGGATAATTAAGCGATTTCTGCTGAATTTGGTCAACTCCAGTCAAAGGAGGAGGAGGTTTGGTAAGCTGATAGCCAACTTAAATATCGCCAGATGCCAATTTTATTAATATTTCATCTAGTCAGATCCCAATTTATTTGGAATTGAGGGTTACAACTTTCATTATGAGGAATTGCCTCATGTTTGATCAAGGTATTGCATTTTGTTGCGCCACTACCCTTATGTAGAAATTTGCTGGTTGCAAAATCTTCATCTCTTCAATTTGACTTTTGTTGTTTTTTCTACAGCATTCAATGCCTTTGACCTCAAATTCGTTTTTAACTTCCAGTTATTTTTCTATATTTTCATGTGTTATTGGTTACCTCTTTAACTGCTTATCTACCTCTTTCATGAAAAGGATAAGTTAGACTTTACAATACTAGTGTATGTCCTAATCTTAAAAACTTTTGTGACAAAGCTTTATGCATCTTAAAGAATCTTCTAACTTCGTTCAAAACACTTGTTTGCTAATCTGTTTTAAAAGGAATTGTTTTTTTTTTTGGGTACCTTTAGTTATCTGACAGACAAGCATACTAATGTTTTCAGGGAATGGTATTTAGCTCTTTGTGGAGCTACTCGAGACAGTTCTCATCAAGAAACTTGTTGCCACTAGAATGATTCTGGAAGTCAATCTTCTGCATTGAGCAGGTTGATGCATTGGCTAAAGTTATGAATCACCGGCAAGACGAGTTTGTGAGGTCAGTTTTCTGAGAACTTGTGCAATCCCCCTTTTTCCTCTCAATCCACTAAATGCTTTTTCCAGGTTAAACCTTTTAGTAGTTTCTCTCTGAATGTAAATAACACAAATGAACAGATTTTAGAGATTTATAAGTGGAAAATAGACTAATTCTAGACTGGAGGGAAACAATAGAAAGCCTACATAGCCTTACCTATTTGAAATTGGATGAGAACAGAAAATTAAGAGGGAAGTCCAAGCACATTTATGTTTGGTTACTTAAATGGGTAACTTTGATATTTATGAAAAACCTTAATGAAGTAAATTTTAGCATGGACTATTCTCTTTTTTTCGTTTTGTATATGTATAGATGTTATATAACTGCACCAATTTGCTGACATGTTTTATGCCAACTTGTATTTCTAATACTTAAATTGGTCGCCTTGCAGGTTTCAGGATTGGAAATCAGAGAGAAGCTCTGAGGGAAATTTTCATGCTAAAGGTGGAGTCCACAGAAGTAAAGTTGTAATAGCTTCCAACGAATTACATAATGGCTTGGAATCTGGGAAATGGAGGGCCAAAGGCATAATACAAGCTGTAAAATCTAGTTTAAGTGGTTTTGTGGAAGAAAGCTTGGGATCCAAAAAGAACATTCTTGATCCTCAAGGACCTTTTCTTCAAAAGTGGAACAAAATATTTGTATTATCCTGTGTAATTGCTATCTCCTTGGATCCTTTGTTCCTTTATATTCCAGTGATTGATAACGACAACAAATGCCTGGGGTTAAACAGAACGTTGGAGGTCACAGCTAGTGTTTTGCGTTCTTTTACTGATATATTTTACTTTCTTCATATTGCCCTTCAATTTCGAACTGGTTTCATTGCTCCTTCGTCACGTGTATTTGGAAGAGGTGTTTTAATTGAAGATGCTTGGGAGATAGCAAAGAGATACTTATCCACTTACTTCTTGATCGACATTCTTGCAGTTCTACCACTACCACAGGTGCAAGTTACTTCCCTTCAAAACATTACTTTGGCTTTCTATTGAAGAGAGACTCATGGTTTGGTACATTTTGTGAAAAGATTATTCTGGTTCAAGCAGGCAATGTATCGTATCTCATGGAGATCATAGATTTACATGATGTGGAGAATTTTTGCACTCCATGTATCTTTAGATCTCCCTATTATATTGCATGTTTGCTTTTACCTACTTCCTATGTAAATAAAAATATGTTCAGTTGTTTACTCTTATCCTTTTATGTATTTTCAGGTTGTAATTTTAATTATAATTCCTAAGTTGCGGGGTTCAAGATCTTTGAATACCAAGAATTTGCTGAAGTCTGTTGTCTTTTTCCAATATATTCCAAGGGTCCTTCGAGTGTATCCTTTATATAGGGAAGTCACAAGAACATCTGGCATACTCACTGAAACAGCATGGGCTGGAGCTGCTTTCAATCTCTTCCTTTATATGCTTGCCAGCCATGTAAGCTTGCAATAACCTTGAGTTACAATTGTGATGGATAGTATACTATCTACTCTGTTGTTCAAATTTGTGTTACCCAAAGTTACCTATGGTTGATTCTATCTAAAAGGTGTCCTTTAAAATTTTGTTATTTTGACTAATTGGAACCTTAGAAATAAAAGTTATGGATTTTCAGCCATCTTAGGTTTTCCTGGCATATAAACTTATGATATGCCAGCAGATATCAGTAGTGTTATGAAATAGTTATATCATTCTCTATTGTATTTTTTTTGGTCGGTGACATCATTCTCTATTCTATACTATCTTGTACTCATTAGACTGAGAATTGAGTGGCTTTGTGCTCTTTAGGTACTTGGAGCCTTTTGGTATCTGTTTTCTATAGAACGCGAAACTACTTGCTGGAAACAAGCTTGTGGAAATTCTTCTCCCTGTCTTCATGCCTCATTGTATTGTGATGATGATCATACAAAATTTAAAACATTGCTGAACAGTTCCTGCCCTATAGAGACACCAAATGCAACGCTATTTGATTTTGGGATATTCCTTGGCGCTCTCCAATCAGGTGTTGTGGGACCAATGGATTTTCCACAGAAGTTCTTTTATTGTTTCTGGTGGGGTTTACAAAATTTAAGGTACGCCTGCAATCTGTGCCTCTTTTATGCATATTGAAAAACAAGTTGGTTAGATCTTTATACCCAAGTGTTTTTCTGTTTAACCACATTTGCATGTACTATGTAGTGATTACCAGGCGGATCTAGGATTTGGAGGTTCCGGATGCCACACTAATTTTAATGTACACGTGTTGTATTTACATGGTCCAAATAGGATATTTATTTGGTCGGTTTGATCTATTTTTATTTCGGGTCAGTTATTCGTCTTATCGGGTTTATATATGGACAAACCAATCAAACGAAAAAATAATTACATTGAAGTTGTTCTCCTAGAAAAAAAAAATCAATTTTCTACTATCTATTGATACATGATAACAGTAGATACAAAACGAAAATAGAGTGAAGTTGAAATATAGTGTATAGACTTTTATGTCTTTTGATAGCATAAATTAAGAAGAATTATTCTTGAAAAATGATTCTATAAGATGGGAAAGAGAAGGTTTTTGAAAGGAAGAAACTTTTATAACTTATAGAAGAAGAAAGATAAAGTTACCAAGAATTAATAAAAGATAAAAGCAGAGAAGAATTAATTAAATGTAAATAGTCAATAGGTAGTAAAGACAGTTTGTCCTAAATGCATGAAATGGAAAAAGTATTAATGTGCTTAAGGCTAGGATCAAACTCCTGTCGCTTGGGAGACAAACCAGAAACTTTGCCAGCGGCACCCAACATTTTGCGGAGCTGGGTGCCACTTAATTCTATTTGGAAACTTTGTCTGTAGGTATACTTATATTTACAACATTTCGGCTGAGGTTTGCGGGTGTGTGCCACCCCCTTCCTCCTTAATAGATCCGCCCCTGGTGACTACTAACCATCTATTAAAAGTTCAAGCAGCAATAGAAAGAAACTTCTTTGTAGAATAGTGTGTGCGTAGCTTGAGTATTTTGGACTTTGCGATGCTAGAGCACTCGGTTGGTTTTTATTGGTTTTATAATGTTGAATTTTGTGACCATCTCATCTAATAGCTCAAAGTGTTAGAGGGAGGGTATTGTTAGTTACTCCTATTAATTTAGGTTTGCAATACGTCCTGTCACATATTGCCTAATTCTTTTTTTTTTTTTTGGACTAAGCACGTGAAACTATTTATGTTGATGGATGACGGTGAGACTTGAAACCAAGTCCGTTGATATTATGTTGAATTTGGTGACCACCTTGTCTGAAATTTTAAGCCTCAGAGAGAGGATACTTTATCTATTTATTTAGGTTACAACAGATACCATTCAAGAAAATTCAGTCTGGTGATGGAAAATAACAAGGGTAAGAAGGAGGGGAATCATAGGTGAGGACAGGTGGTTCTTTTTTGGGGTGAGGGGGGAGACACAGTGAGAGATGGATTTGGTAAACAAGGGGTGGGGGGATGTTTCAACTTGTATGTCAATATCATCTAGGACATGCACAATGATGGTTTGTAACTGTTTGTTTTGGTTTCATTTTTTTGGTTCGATTATTTTCGGTCTTAGTTTATAAGTAAATTGAAACAGAATAGAAATAACCTCGATTCATTTTGGTTTTCCTGTTTGAATCTAATTTTCACACTTAGAAAATTGGTCTATTGAAAGAAATCGGACCAACAAAAAGGAGGTAGGCTAAATCAATAAATAATTGAATAGAAATATCTACAACGTTAAACAAAAATAAGAGCGCAATGGTTCAAATCTCAGCAGAGACAAAAACACTAAGTAAACAGCATTTTCATCTCTGGCTCTCTTTCGAAGATCTTTGTTGTTGTTTTCCAATGAAAAAGTTATCAATCAGATATTTATTTTAATGTTCTGTATCAGTCTTTTACTGGCAGCTGGGTAGACATTAATATTCAAAGCAGACTAAACCTACCCTATCACAGCTGGGCAGTTCTTCAGTTAAACAGATTTTTGTTTTCCAGAAAACAAAAAAACAAACCGAAAATTGAAATCTCTTTTAATGTTAAACTGAAGAATAACCCAAAAGATATTGAACTGGAAATATCATATTTTTTCTGTTCAATCTGTTTCTTTGGGTTAAAACCAAATAATGTCCACACCTAGTAGTGTATCTCGAATCCAAATTTGGCTTTGGAAAAGAAACTAAGCAAAGGCTCTTCGATTGAGGTCGATAAGGTTAAAAGAATCTCCGAAAACTTGATGCACTGCCAAAAGATTAATTTCTTTACTTTGCCAGGTTGTATTTGTTAGAATAGTCATGTAAATAGGAGTAAATAAATAACCCTAATCCAATATATGTTAGGAGTAGGACATGTTATGTGTGTATATATATAGGGCTCATTGTAACATATGTATATACATCAATAATATATTTTCTCCCGTGCTTTCTCACATGGTATCAGAGCTTTAGTGAGAAACATATCGCTGTGCATCATTCCAGCGACTTCCGGGAAGAAAGAACTCAGTCACCGTGCAATTTTCCGGTGACCTAAGTGACTTATTGCGTCAAAGTCACTAATTAACAGTGTTGTGCAAAATCCAACACCACCACAAGGTTCCCAAGAGAGATCCGACCAAACCCCAGAAAAAATCACCGGAAAATAGCCCTCCACGCGCCGTCACGCGCCTGTCGGAACTCTGCCGCCGCCGGCGCGTCTGTCCCACGCGCCGGCGCGTGAGGCCTCTTCCGGCCATTTTTCGGCTTCGCTTCTTCAGGACAGTTGGATCGCCCTGCAATTCCGAGCCTGTCCATATTTTTATTTTTTAATTCCGACCACTTTGAGTTTTTCCGGCGACTACACTGATTTTTCCGGCAGCTACAGTACTTTTCCGGCAAACACAGTGTTTTCTTCATCTGTTTCAGAGAATTTTCAGTTGATTCTTTTTGTTATTTGGTGATAATCCAACCATGTCTTTGGGAGTCGATGCTTTCGGGTCTAGAAACCCGGGTTCTGGCAGTTCCGGTGTTATGATTACCTCAGAACCTTTAATGGGAGGTTCAAACTACTTAGATTGGGCTTCATCTGTCGAGTTGTGGTGTAAAGGTCAAGGAGTTCAAGATCATTTAACAAAAAAGGCTAGCGAAGGTGATGAAAAGGCCAAAACACAATGGGAGAAGGTCGATGCTCAGTTATGTAGTATCCTGTGGCGATCTATTGATTCCAAGTTGATGCCCTTGTTCCGTCCATTCCAGACATGTTATTTAGTTTGGGAAAAGGCTCGTAATCTATACACTAATGACATATCTCGTTTCTATGATGTAATATCGCGAATGACAAGCTTGAAGAAACAGGAATTAGATATGTCTACTTACTTGGGACAAGTTCAGGCAGTCATGGAAGAATTTGAGACGTTGATGCCAGTTTCTGCTAGTATTGAAAAACAACAAGAGCAACGACAGAAGATGTTTCTAGTTCTTACACTCGCTGGACTCCCTAATGACCTTGATTCAGTACGTGACCAGATTTTGGCTAGTCCAACCGTCCCCTCAGTTGATGAATTATTCTCTCGATTACTTCGCCTTGCTGCAGCACCTAGTCACCCAGTGAGCTCATCACAGACACTTGACTCATCTGTCCTCGTATCCCAATCAGTGGACAATCGGGCATCTCATACTATGGAAAATAGACGAGGAGGAGGTCGTTTTGGAAGATCTAGACCCAAGTGCTCCTATTGTCATAAACTTGGACACACTCGTGATGTATGCTATTCTTTACATGGCCGCCCAACCAAAAATGCTTATGTTGCTCAGACTGAGACTACAGGTAACCAGGGATTTTCTTTATCTGAAGGGGAGTATAATGAGTTCCTTCAGTATCGAGCAAGTAAGCAGACATCTCCACAAGTAGCTTCTGTTGCTCAGACTAATACTTCTGTTGCTGGTAATTCTTTTGCTTGTGTTTCCCAGTCTAGTCCTCCTGGACAATGGGTTGTGGACTCAGCCGCTTCTGATCATATCTCTGGTAATAAATCACTTTTGTCAAATATTGCGTATTCACAGTCTCTTCCCACTGTTACTTTAGCCAATGGGTCTCAAACCAAAGCAAAAGGAGTTGGACAAGCGAATCCCCTACCCTCTGTCACTCTAGATTCCGTTCTCTATGTCCCTGGCTGTCCTTTTAATCTTGCATCTGTTAGTCGTTTGACTCGTGCCCTCCATTGTGGTATATATTTTATTGATGATTCTTTTATTATGCAGGACCGCAGTACAGGGCAGACGATTGGAACAGGACTTGAATCAGAAGGGCTTTACTACCTTAACTCCCTAAAATCCTCCAAGGCATGTCTAGTTACAGATCCTCCGGACCTAATTCACAAACGTTTAGGACATCCAAGCTTATCCAAGCTTCAGAAGATGGTGCCTGGTTTGTCTAGTTTATCCACATTAGAGTGTGAGTCATGTCAGCTCGGGAAACATACCCGAGCCTCCTATCCTCGTAGTATTGAGAGTCACGTAGAGTCTATTTTTTCTTTAGTTCACTCTGATATATGGGGTCCTAGTAGAGTCAGTTCAACCTTGGGATTTCGTTATTTTGTTAGTTTTATTGATGATCATTCAAGATGTACTTGGATTTTCTTAATGAAAGATCGTTCTGAGTTGTTTTCTATATTCCAGAATTTTTGTGCTGAAATTAAAAATCAATTTGGTGTTTCCATTCGCACTTTTCGCAGTGATAATGCCTTAGAATATTTATCCTCTCAATTTCAGCAGTTTATGACTTCTCAAGGAATTATTCATCAGACCTCTTGTCCTTATACCCCTCAGCAAAATGGGGTTGCAGAGAGAAAGAATAGGCACATCATTGAGACTGCTCGCACACTTCTCATTGAATCTCATGTTCCGCTGCGTTTTTGGGGCGATGCAGTTCTCACAGCTTGTTATTTAGTTAATCGGATGCCTTCCTCTCCCATCCAGAATCAGATACCGTATGCAGTATTGTGTCCCCAATCACCCGTATACTCTGTTCCCCCTCGTGTTTTTGGGAGCACTTGTTTCGTTCATAACCTAGCCCCTGGGAAAGATAAGTTAGCTCCTCGTGCTCTCAAGTGTGTCTTCCTTGGTTATTCTCGTGTTCAGAAGGGCTATCGTTGTTACTCACTTGATCTTCGTAGGTACTTTATGTCCTCTGACGTCACATTTTTTGAGTCTAAACCTTTCTTTACCTCTTCTGACCTTTCTGACCCCCTTGATATATCTGAGGTCTTACCTATACCGACCTTTAAGGAGTCTACTATAGCTCCTCCTTCACCTTCCGCCACAGAAGTCTTACCCGAGTCTCCTATAGCTCCTCCTTCACCTTCCGCTATAGAAGTCTTATCCATTCCAGCCGTTGAGGAGTCTAGTGTGGCTCCTCCTAGACTCCCTGCCACAGGAACACCACTTTTGACATATCATCGTCGTCCGCGCCCAGCATCAGGTCCAGCTGATTCACGTCCTGCACCTGACCCTGCTAATACTGCGGACTTGTCTCCTCTTAATCAACCGATTGCACTTCGGAAAGGTATACGGGCCACCCTTAATCCTAATCCCCATTATGTCGGTTTGAGTTATCATCGTTTGTCATCACCCTATTATGCTTTTCTATCTTCTTTGTCCTCTGTTTCCATCCCTAAGTCTACAGGTGAAGCATTGTCTCATCCAGGATGGCGACAGGCTATGATTGACGAGATGTCTGCTTTACATACGAGTGGTACTTGGGAGCTCGTCCCTCTTCCTTCAGGTAAATCTACTGTTGGTTGTCGTTGGGTGTATGCAGTCAAGGTTGGTCCGGATGGTAAGGTTGATCGTCTTAAGGCTCGTCTTGTTGCCAAAGGATATACTCAGATATTTGGGCTCGATTACAGTGATACCTTCTCTCCTGTGGCTAAGATAGCATCAGTCCGCCTTTTTCTATCCATGGCTGCTGTTCGCCATTGGCCCCTCTATCAGCTGGACATTAAGAATGCTTTTTTACACGGTGACCTTGAGGATGAAGTTTATATGGAGCAACCACCTGGGTTTGTTGCTCAGGGGGAGTCTCGTGGCCTTGTATGTCGCTTGCGTCGGTCACTTTATGGTCTAAAGCAGTCTCCTCGAGCCTGGTTTGGTAAGTTCAGCACAGTTATTCGAGAATTTGGCATGATTCAGAGTGAAGCTGATCACTCTGTATTCTATCGGCATTCTGCCTCGAGTCTCTGTATTTATCTGGTGGTCTATGTTGACGACATTGTTATTACCGGCAATGACCAGGATGGTATTACTAAATTGAAGCAACATCTCTTGCAACACTTTCAGACTAAGGATCTGGGCAAACTAAAGTATTTTCTGGGTATTGAGGTCGCTCAGTCTAGCTCAGGTGTTGTGATCTCACAACGAAAGTATGCCTTAGATATTCTTGAAGAGACAGGAATGACAGGTTGTAGACCGGTTGACACTCCGATGGATCCGAATTCTAAACTTATGCCAGGACAGGGGGAGCCTCTTAGCGATCCTGCAAGATATAGACGGTTGGTTGGTAAATTAAATTACCTTACAGTGACAAGACCTGACATTTCCTTTTCTGTGAGTGTTGTGAGTCAGTTTATGGATTCTCCGTGTGATAGTCATTGGGATGCAGTTGTTCGCATTCTTCGGTATATAAAATCAGCTCCAGGCAAAGGTTTATTGTTTGAAGGTCGAGGCCATGAGCAGATCGTTGGATACTCAGATGCTGATTGGGCAGGATCACCTTCTGATAGACGTTCTACGTCTGGATATTGTGTCTTGGTAGGAGGAAATTTGGTGTCCTGGAAGAGCAAGAAACAGAATGTGGTTGCTCGGTCTAGTGCAGAAGCAGAATATCGAGCAATGGCTATGGCGACATGTGAGCTAATTTGGATCAAACAGTTGCTCAAGGAGTTGAAATTTGGTGAGATTAGTCAGATGGGACTTGTGTGTGATAATCAAGCTGCTCTTCATATTGCGTCAAATCCAGTGTTCCATGAGAGAACTAAACACATTGAGATTGACTGTCACTTTGTTAGAGAAAAGATACTCTCGGGAGATATTGCTACAAAGTTTGTGAAGTCGAATGATCAGCTTGCAGATATTTTCACCAAGTCCCTCACTGGTCCTCGTATTAACTACATATGTAACAAGCTTGGTACATATGATTTATATGCACCAGCTTGAGGGGGAGTGTTAGAATAGTCATGTAAATAGGAGTAAATAAATAACCCTAATCCAATATATGTTAGGAGTAGGACATGTTATGTGTGTATATATATAGGGCTCATTGTAACATATGTATATACATCAATAATATATTTTCTCCCGTGCTTTCTCACAGTATTATAGCTTCTCTCTTTTCAGCCTTGTCGACATATCCAGTAGGCATTTCTGATATGTTTAGCCCTTTTTTGAAAAAAAAATAAATGGTGATAATTTACTTTCCTGACTAGGATAGATGTGGAAGTCCTGTTAATAGAATATTGAGTTGTGTCTTAAAAGGTTCATTTTCATTGAGTTTTCTGTCTGTGGTTATTCTAACCAAAACCTTGCTCCTTTATTTTGCAGTTCCCTTGGTCAAAACCTCCAAACAAGTACCTTCATCTGGGAAATTTGCTTTGCAGTTTTCATTTCCATCGCTGGCCTGGTGCTATTTGCCTTTCTCATTGGCAATATGCAGGTAGTTTTTGGTTCTTAGTTTTTCATCACTGTTCTGGAAGTTCTAAAGCCGGCATTTGACAGTACAACTCAAAATAATAATAGCTATCCAAGATTTTATCTCAAGAAATAAAACTCATATGGCAAAGTTCTCATTCTGGTGGCACCTCCTTTCTCTGTCATGTCACAACCTATTTAAATTAGTCTAATTGAAAAAAAATATTATCGTCGACTTACTAAGGTTTTTGGTACGTCTTATGTGTATAAACAACGTCATGGGCTGCGATTTTGTCAACCTTATGGTAGGCCATGATGCCCAGAAGAAACGTCTGTTTGGAATAAACATGGGCTATGAAGTGTGAATCAGTTGCATTATTAAATTATGGGTGCAGGGATTTAGGGCTTCTTGAAACAGTGCCATTTTACTCTCAGTAATCAACTAAAATTCTTGTATGTGATAGACATGTCTGCAATCCTCAACATTAAGATTAGAGGAGATGCGGGTGAAAAGACGAGATGCAGAACAGTGGATGTCACATCGGTTGCTCCCTGAGAACCTCAGAGAGCGGATTAGGCGCTATGAGCAATACAGGTGGCAGGAAACTAGGGGTGTTGATGAAGAGAATCTGATTCACAACCTCCCGAAAGACCTCAGGAGAGATATAAAGCGTCATCTTTGTTTAGCTTTGCTCATGAGAGTAAGTTTTGTCACTCCTACTCTTTGACTGTGGTTCACCCTTATTTTGCAAATACAGATGTGATTTGTTCCCCTCTAAGGGTTGGCATCATATCTTAGATGAACTTTTTATATATAAAAAGTGAGATTTTCTAAGCGTAGTATAGTCAAAAGATTGCTGTTCTTATGATCTGTTTATTAGTTCTTGATTTTGATTATGCATGGATATTTTAAGGTGCCAATGTTTGAAAAAATGGATGAACAACTCTTAGATGCATTATGCGACCATCTGAAGCCAGTGCTATTCACCAAGGACAGCTTCATTGTTCGTGAAGGTGATCCAGTTGATGCGATGCTGTTTGTAATGAGGGGCAAACTACTGTCTGTAACCACTAATGGAGGGAGGACAGGTTTTTTTAACTCTGAGCATCTAAAAGCTGGTGATTTTTGTGGAGAGGAGCTACTTACTTGGGCTCTTGACCCTAATTCGTCAACTAACCTACCAATCTCAACTAGAACTGCCCAAGCACTCTCAGAAGTTGAAGCATTTGCTTTAGTGGCTGATGATTTAAAGCTTGTAGCCTCTCAGTTCCGACGACTTCACAGTAAGCAGCTCCGCCACACTTTCAGGTTTTACTCAGGCCAATGGAGAACTTGGGCAGCTTGCTTCATACAAGCAGCATGGCGGAGTTATTGCAGGAAGAAGGTAGAAGAGTCTCTTCGTGAAGAAGAAAACAGGTTGCAAGATGCATTGGCAAATGAAGGTGGCAGTTCACCAAGTTTGGGTGCTACCTTTTATGCATCAAGATTTGCTGCTAATGCACTCCGTGCTTTGCGGCGCAATACTGCAAAGAAAGCAAGGGTGCCAGACAGGATATCACCCATTCTGCTTCAGAAGCCAACAGAGCCAGATTTTACTGCTGAAGATAAATAACTGCCATTATTAATTGTAGTACGTGGTCTTGTTGTAAATGATTGAGTGCATTTTCAGCCATGTTTTTGTGTATAATACATATATTGGCAATTTCTTCAAGCCTCGAGGCTTGATGGAAAGAAAGCAATTGTATTTGTACAAAAGAAATGATATCTACCATTTTACCAGATTATTATAGAATCCACAACAATAAATACCTCAATTCCAAGCCAATTATGGTCAACTACACAAACCCTCACATTTTGCTCCATCTGGGCCTATTTTATTCCCGGTGCATGTGTGTCTCTATGTATTCACTCTTGTCGGTTTGCCTTATAAATTAAAGGATTAGTTACTTCCTATAGCAAAGGTTGATACCTTATTTATTTTAAATAAATACCCTTTTAAAAAATTATATTTCATAGCTACCTTTTGATTTTTTATAGCCAAATATCTATTTATGGTCACCTCCTAGCCTTAAGCCATAAAATAAGTTTTGTATTATGTTTCTCTCTCATATCCCCTCAAATTTCTCCTATCCCCTACCCCATATCTATTCTCCCTCTCTCTCTCTACTTCCCGATCTCATATCCTCTCCTTCTTGAAATATCTCAACTATGTTTTAAGATCTATACACTACAAGAAAACACGAAATTAGTACGATTTTAGCTGGAAAGTTCAGATCCTTATCTAATAAGCAAATCGGAAGCAATTTGTCAATGATATATACGTTAACAAAATATTAGAAAGCAGAGTTGATTTTGAGAGTGTAAATTTTGGAGAGTGAATTTCATGGGTGGTAATTTTGCTTTGTGCTCATTACCTCCCTGGAAACTTCGATCACGTACGATCTCCGATGCAACAACAGTTGGAATTAAAGGCGGCGCTGGATCGTCGGCAACCGGAGGCAACGGTGACGGCGAGCTGCTTCAACGAGACGACATTAGGGTCGTTCTTGAACAAAGACGACGGAGTTGTGGGCTGAGCAACTTGAATTTTCTGTTAATATATTTTTCAATGTATTTTAATGCATCTCGTTGTATTTCATTATATTCATTGTCTTTTTTCCATTATATTTCAATGTATCTCGCTGTATTATATGTATTTCATTGTATTTTCAATGTATCCCGCTGTATTCTATGTATTTCATTGTATTCACGGTCTCGCCATATTCCATGAATGTATTCATATGTTTGTTTTTAATTAATATAATTTATGTATTCAGATGTATTATATAATTTCTCTGAAGATTGCTATGTTTTTGGGATGTTTTTCGGTTGAGAATCTTTTTTATAACTGAAAATACAGAATTTGTGTGTTATAATTGAGTTTGTTGAGTTATATTAGGAGTCTATTATGTTAATTGATTCACTTTCCGTTTAAAAACAGTGAAATCCCTTGTTTCACGCCGTGAATACAGTTGAATACAGTCGAATACAATAATATGTCCCACTGTAATCCCATGTTTCACCCCATGAATACAGTCGAATACACTCGAATACAAAAATCTGTCTAGCTGTAATCCCCTGTTTCACGCCTAGAAATGCTATTGTATTCATGAATATATTAGCTTAAATACATGGAATACACTCTAAAAAATCTGAAAACATAGCTATAGGAAGTAATATAGTAAATGGTAGCTACAACTAGCTAAAAACCACTAAAAGATAGTCGTTTCTGAAAGTTTCTCTAAATTAAATAGTTTTATGTTGATCGTCAACTAACTAAAATCTCCTTTCTTTATCAGAACTTAGGATGCACAACAATTAGCACATGCAAAGTTCCTTTTTCATATTCTTTTTAACTGTGGATAAAGGTTGATGGCTATTGCTCTTTAGAGTATGACTAATTGGTTTTTAAGAATCATCTACCCCAGAAGTCTTTCACCAGATAGAAAGAGTTAACAAGCAATATCAACTGTTTTGCTGCTGACTGCTGAGTTACACTTGATATCTACCTAATGCTTTCCGTGTGAATTCAACTGGGTTACCAATGAAATGAATAGGAATAAGCCATTTAACTTGAGCCCCATATCAGAACAAGTGCACAATATTTTTCAATCACTGTGATGTTACTTTTTTATTGGTAGTACCCATGGATTTTGTCCCTTCATAATGTGCAACAGGCTTTCTTTTTAATGGTAGATCCAAGTGCATGGCCCATTTTGGGTTCACTTGGAGCTTTGCCAACAACCATAGGAGGTGTGATGTCAACGTATTTATGGAAGTCACACGGAACTTGACCATCAAGTTTGAAAAAAGCTGAAGAGGGTTTGCACCTGAAATAGGACTAATGCAGATCCAGAAGAATGGTCTGGGCTTTCAAAGAGATGAAGATGCAAGGGGTAGATTCGAATCATCAAGGGCATCTCTAGAAAACAAAAAATCACTCTTTACAAGAATGCTACTTAGGGAGAAGAGTCTCTTGACTCAGGAGCACCTGAATCTACTCTTTCCGTGTCCCACATCTGCCTATGTTTAAGCATCCGCCCATTCCTCAGTTCCATGCAATGGCATTTAATCAACAGATATCACTTACTGTTCACATTGGCCATCTCAAGATTATATACAGTGTGCCGTTAGGGGGAACTCTTGATAACATTGGTGTTCGGCCCGCTTAAGCATACTTGTTGCTTGCCACCTTCCACAAGTACAAGCACCAAGAATTATATTACCATTACCTCCAAAGATTTGGGCAAACAAAGAGATCACCTCGTATTTTTGTCTCAGTTTAGATTTGAACCCTGGTCTCACATGGTTCTTCAACTGTTAAGATAAATAGGATTGTAAACTACTATTAATTGTTTGGTTTCGCTTAATATTGATGTATGTACATAGCAGAAGAAATGGTCATGGTGAAGTAGAGGATGTACACGAGTGGGGAGAATATATCAGCAGCTACTCGTACGGTCAAGGCGACTAAGAGTCATGGCTGAATAAAGCAAGAGGCTTAAATTCCGCATTTGGCTTCATGGAGTGATTGCTCAATATTCTGTGTAAGAAAGTAACAGCTTCCACAATGCATTTACCCTTGTTCAACATGATACAACTTGTCCTGCAATAAGAAAAAAGATTAAACGTGGGTCGTGCTGTCGAAAAACATTCACAGGAAAATGGAGTAAAGGTCGAGTTTCTACTACAGTTCTAATACGAGTTAACAACAGCACCTACTTGAGATTATTTGGAGGATTTTAAGGGGTTAGGTGGGCAAAAATGGTTTGAGGATAAGTGATTAGACAAAGGCATTTATTTCTTCATCAACACCATTGGTTAACTGATTTAAGGGAAAGGTCTCTTTGTTGATTGTATATGAGCTAGTAAGTCCTACTCAACACCAGTCCAATATCTCAGTCCACAAACTAGATGGTGTGGTCCTTCCAAATACCAGTTCTAAGCAAAAGAAATCCAAGTTCAACAGAAAGCAAAGTTACTCTTACAAAGTTGGACATACCAGCCCCATATATCTCCATGGTAATTTCCATCATCCAATTAATGCTCATTCTCTGACTTTTAATTGACATATTATAGATGGTTCCTCAAATGAAGTAAGGGACCCCTTGTTACCCACCTCAAGGACCCCCCCCCCCCCCACACACACACACAGAGATGCTTAAAAACTAAGAATAAACGTGATCACAGTTGATTTTTAAAACTTTCAGGACCTTTGCCGATTATTTGGCATCAATTGCTAAATAACTCCGTTTCAAAGATTAGTTATTAGCATACAACTTTTTGGGCTATACATATGAGTTATTGGGACAACTATTCCTCTCTGTACTTGGTTCCTTTATAGCTTTTAATATTGTATATAATCTAAGCCTCAAGTATATTTCCAGTAAAAGATGTGTTTTATAGTTCTCCATGTACACTCCACCTACTATTGAGTATATTCGTGCATTCACAAGTTTCCACGCCTCAAAACTAGTTAAAACTTATGCATATGTGCTCAGCGAATTTCACTTCTTTGAGAAATAACTGATCAAGAAAAGTGCATTCAAGTGTTTGACTTGATAAGTTAAGTCACATTTTAATGTTAGAAGTTCCAGCACATGTTAAACTCCATTTAAGTATATAGAAAAAATAAAGAAGCAGCCAGACTATAACCTCCTCGACTCCCGACTCAACTCCTCAAAACCCAAAAAGGAAAGATGGGAATCAAAATGCACTCACACACGCACACACACAGAGGCAAAGAGACTACTGACCTCATTCCGTCTGCCACATCAGTAAGCTCAGCTCTAGTGGGCACCCCATACTTGACGAGCGACTCCAGGACCTGTGTTGCCCAAATGACAGGAACATGAGCAGCTTTGCAGACGGAGATTATCTCCTCCTGTATATATGCCATGTTTTCCCATCCACACTCTACAGCAAGATCTCCTCTGGCAATCATGATGCCTAAAGGATTTGGCATTTTCATTGCCTCCAATAGTAGGAGCGGCAATCTCTCAAATCCTCCTTTTGTCTCAATCTTTAAAACAACCCCCAAGTCCCCTCTTTTCCGCTTCTCAAGTTCTTGGCGCAACAGTAGAATGTCACTGACATCTCGGACAAATGATACCCCCACCATGTCTGCATGGTCGGCCACAAAGTCAAGATCTATAAGGTCCTTTAAAGTGAGGCCTTCATACCGAATATTGCTCCGTGGAATATTTATGGACTTCTCTGACCCAAGTTTACTACCTGTAGGACTTGCATGGGTGATTGATACAACAATTTCGGAAGTGCTAGTTGCTTTAATAATACCCCATATCTTCCCATCATCAAAAGCAATTGGTTCCCCGGGCTTCACTGAATCAAAAACATATCCAGATGAGCAGGTTATCCTGTGAGAACCAGTGGAAGAATAATTCAACTTGTTTTCTTCATTTTGACTATCGCGTGATATAGACAGCAAGTCACCAACCCTTAATCTGATAAATTGCTTGAGAGGAGGAATGTTTACTACATGTCCAGCTGAAAATTTCTTTCTCTCCTTGATAAACAATTTTGCACCTGACTTAACATAAGCAGTCTTGCTGCATTCAGCCATAAATCCAATGCCGGAGAAAACAGGATACTTGCTTAAGATCTTCAGTGTCCTTCGTTTTCCACGAGCATCAGATAATGTCACAACATCATTCGGCTCCAGCTTACTAAGAAGTTCTTCACCGTCCACATGTAGAACAGCATCAGGGGATACATGGGCAGGTGGAGAACCAGCTCCTGGGCTTGAGAGCCAAACTAGGGCAGGACATATCACTTGACCATAAGCATTCTT